ATAGAATAGAATAGAACAGCATAGAATAGAATAGAATAGAACAGCATAGAATAGAATAGAATGAAATGGAATGGAATATAATTGGTAAAATGGAATACGTTTATTTGCCAGAATACAGTAATGATAAAGGTCTTAAATAGAATTAGGTACTTTTTTTTACATTAAATATAGGTGCGCATTTGACCTCCATCTCACCTGATGGAAAGTGACGATGAGGTCGACGATGGAGCATGCACACCTAAATAATGCCTATTCACTCTCGCCTTGAAAAGGTCTAAGTTATAACGTTCAGGGAACAAGTCTGTAGGCAGAGAATTCCACTCCATAGCCGTTTGCCATATAAATGTGGAAGCGTAACACTTTGTGCGAATCTTTGGACCATCCACAACATAGGGGCCAATCCCAAGCCTACGCCTAGTCCCCCGGTGATGGAAAGGGGAAGGTGGAATTAAATCGTGGAATTCCATCGCACACTCTCCGTGATATATACTGTAAAATACCGATAAGCAGGCAACTTTACGGCGGTGTTCAAGGCTCTGCAGCTTCGCCTCCACTAATTCCGAGTCACCTATAAGCCTCTTGGCACGGTTGTCAATTGAATCCAAAGTGGCCAGTTGATATGTAACAGAGCCATCCTAGAGGTGGCAGCAGTACTCCATGCACGATCAGACTTGTGCTTGGTACAGCTGAAGCAACTGTCCCGGTGTAAAGTAACGCCTCACCCTGGAAAGGATTCCAAGCTTCCTTGCTGCATTTTTGGCCATGGATTCGATGTATCTGCCGAAGTTCAAATTGGACGACAGGTCCATTCCAAGTAGTTGGAGACAATCGGCTATCGGTATGGATATGTCGCGAAAAATCGGAGTCAGCTCAAAGGGACTCCGTTTTGTGGAGAATAGACACTTGCCCGCGTTTTGGTAGCGTTAAATTTGAGAAAATTGGCATCCCCCATTCGGAGACTGCCTGGAGTGCATTCCCCCATTCGGAGACTGCCTGGAGTGCATTCCCCATTCGGAGACTGCCTGGAGTGTCAAATCTAAACGGCTAACCATGGAGTCTCGACAAGACTGGATTTCCTCTCCACTGACCCTTTCATTGGTCAAGTACCTATCTACAACTGTGCTGTCATCAGGATACGCAAAGGTACCTGGAATTAACATATCATTGATATGCAGCAGAAAGAGAGTTGCAGACTGTACAGAACCCTGAGGAACTCCGCCATAAGTTCTATGTATCTATCGCCGTATGTTCGGAAGGGTAGTCTTCTAAGACCATTCGAATCGAACGTTCGCTCAAAAAATCCGAGATCCAATTGCAAAGACGAGTGGGAAGCCTTAAAAGGCTTGCGTGCCAGACCCTGTCAAAGGCTTTAGAATTGTCCACAGACACTGCAAGTGCTTCGCCTTGCTTTTCTATAGCCTCTATCCATATGTGACAAGCATACGCAAGAAGATCCCCAGTAGACCGCCCTCGTCGGAATCCGTACTGGCGACCACAGAGGAGGTCGTTGTCTTCAAGGTACGATAGGAGACGGTTATTGAGTACACGTTCCATAGTCTTGCAGAGTACGGAAGTGACTGAGTCTCAAGTGAGAGGCGGTACAGGCGTGTGAGAACAGGAGACAACTCAGGCGCACAATTACGCAGGACTATTGCTGGAATTCGATTTGGCCCGCTAGCTTTATTCACGTCTATATTTCGCAGAGTTCTGAGTACCTTTTTTTGGCGTATGCGAACTGGCGCCATAGTGCAGCCAGCCTGAGGTAAAGTAGGTGGTAGGGTCCCTGCGGCATCCAGACGCGAACTCTCTGCAAAGAGTGAGGCATAGAGATTTGCCTTCTCTTCCGCAGTATGAGCCAGCGAGCCATCCGGCCTCAGCAGAGGTGGCAAAGAGGATCGACGAAAGTTATATTCGACCGCTTTGGCCACGGACCAAAAGGATTTGCTGCCTGCTGGATAAGAGGCAAGCTTGGCCCCTATGCGGCGCACATGGTCGGACTTGGCCCTACGCAATATGCTTTTGCACGTCTTGGCGGCCTTATTAAAAGCTTTCCTTAAATTCTGAGTCCAGCATCTGCCCATGCTTGATACGCGAACTGTTTATGTGCTTCAGCACAACTACAATCAGCTTTAAACCATGGACGAGCTTGTGGTCCATTGGGTACATCAGAGTATGGTATGTAATACTCCATATCCAAACGCAAGACCTCGACTACAGCATCAGCACAGCTCGACGAGTCTCCTGAAGTAAAGCACGCCTGCCAGGGATTTGACGCAAAGAAATGGCACATTTCGTCCCAATCTGCTAACTTGTATCGCCACACCCGTCTTATACCACTAGAGCCCTGATCGGGTGGGGAGTATACAAGTTAGCTTAGTTTTCACCAGATAATGATCGGAAGTACCCAGTGATCCACAATCACAGTATCGGCCCGGATCAGTTGTCAGCAGAAGGTCTAAGCAATTAGCCGTATGAGATTCAACATCAAATATCCTAGTGGCGCCACTGACAAGCTGGGATAGGCTTAGCTCTAACGCAAGTTTACGCGTCTCTCTCCCAGCGTGATCGGTCTTCTGATATGGGAACAACCATTCTCGATGGTGTGCAAGTAAAGTCCCCTAGAATGACTAGTTGCGCCGCTGGGTACCTATGCTGAATCTCATCAGAAAAATTGTATTCAACCTGCAATTAGGTGTGCAAATACTAATTCCGTGTTTGGTTTCTATTGTTAGTTGAACTTCAAATTGATGTAAATTTTGAATTGTAAATTCTAAGTATTCTTTATTACTTTAGAAGCAATGTGTCAAAAGCCGTTTTGTTAATTGTAATTTAAAAGTATGTTCTTGTAACAATTTAATTTCATTTGGCAGATAGTTGTAAATTATAATTATACACATGTTGAAGCAGTTTTTCTTATAAATTACTTTATGGCACCGAGATTGGTACAAAAGATTCATAATTTTTGCTCTAGTCTGCCTTTGATTAATTTCACCACGTGTTTTGAAATATTGAGGATAAGTTTTGACAAATACACAGATATCTCTAATGTACATGCATGGTAAAGGCAGTATGTTTGCTTTTAGTTTTAGTTTACAGCTGTTGTCGAACCACGTATCGCAAATCGCCGTATACACTTCTTCTGAACCTTAAACGAACTTCGTCGAGACGTTAATAGATTGTGTTATGACGCGCAACAGCTCAAAGCACGCAAGGGTAGTAGAGCTACGTTTTTGAAATACGTATTGAGAACAGTTTCTGATTTTGTTTTTCTAAAAATGCGTTTAATCTAATATGTAGAGCTCTTTCGAATACCTTAGACAGAGTTGGGATTAAAGATATTGGCCTATAATTTCTCGTGCTTCCTTATCACCTTTCTTAAAAAGGGGTTTGATAACAGAATTTTTTATTATATTTGAAAAAGGCCATCACTAAAAGATAAATTTATTATATGTGTAAGTGGATGACAAATATAAGGGATACACAGTTTAAGCATTCTAGTAGTTATACTGAGGCAATATATAAACATAATTGAGCCTAACCTTCTGCTGAAAAAATTGTTTTGTTAGATTAACATTAAAGTAAAAATCGGGGATGTAATTAATAATAAGCTGAAACATAAAGTTACGTTTTTATATTGCTGCTTGATTAGGAAATCAGAATACTACTGAATAATAATTCAACACGACTTTAATATTTTAGTAAAAAAAACCAATAACTTTCGGACGCGAATTTACGAAGCCTTCAACTGAAAGCTGAACCGTGATTATTAGATAATAATCACGGTTTAAGAATAGATATTCTTAAACTTTGTTGCTACAGTCTGACCACCTTAAATACAACGGAATACATATTTACTGCATTTTTTAACAATTAACATTTTTGTTACAGGAACTTCGTAAGCGTTTCAAGGACCCTACACGAAATGGGGTAGTTTTGGGAGAAAGTTAGATATTAAATAGTTATTGCATTGTGTGTTACTAAGTGACTTTGAAGAGAGTGTATAAATAAACCTCAACCATGTATTCTATGAACTATATAGGAAAGTTCATTGCGAACTTCCGTGAATTTTATAATGAAATCAATGGTGCGACGCTAACGGGTGCCATCGATGTGGTAGTGGTAGAACAACCTGATGGTAGCTTCACCTGTTCGCCTTTCCATGTGCGTTTTGGGAAGCTTGGAGTACTTCGCTCTAGATTCAAAGTGGTAAGTGCTAAGTTTAATGCATTGTATATATGAATTATTCTTTTTTATTTAGTTGTATTTGTTTCCATTTTGGTGTAGAATAAAGAATTTTTGTATTGTATTGTATATTATACATATTTCTTATTTGACCTCGCACCATTTAAATCTTAACTGTAAACTCCGTGGCCGAACGGTTACCATGCTGGACTGCCACGTAGAGGTCCCGGGTTCGATTCCCGGGGCGGGGGAAATATTTGTATGGCCTACATTTATTTCTCGTGAGTTTGGGTGTAAGTCGTCGTTGATTATGTGTAATAACGCACACATAATAATAATAACGCACACACTCATGTGTGTGTCCATGGCACCCGCGACACAGGGTTTCCCTAGTGCAGGGCCATGAGAGTGTGCGTTAAAAAAAGAAAAAATCATCTAGATAAAATATTTATTATTCCAACTGCTAACCGGATTTTTGTTGTGATCAAGAATATTCAGATATCGTAGCGATATGCTATCTTATTGGAATGTGTATTTTGTCTCATGTACTTCAGATATGTACGACTGTACGTACCTATACGACATGTCATCTTTTTCACTTAAGATTTAAATTCAACTATGCCTCTTGTGAGAAGGTAGTCCAAAGCCCAGCATGTTGTTGACTCTATATGTGTACGTAACAATATTTATGTCACACCAACATATTTGAATTTGCAAATGATTATGATAGAACCCTGGTGCAACATTGACCGAAAGTTACGTGACTTCACAGCGATTACTTCATTGGATAGT